CCAGTCTGCCCTTCTGGTATGTATACGATATTCTCTTTTCTGCTCGTTTGATTTGGTTTGCACACTATATTGCTTGATGTGATGATCCCGATTTGTTTTGCAGACGGCTGGGAGGATAGCTGAACTAGGCCGCTGGCAGCATGATGCCGTCGAAAGAATTGGCCGCTTAAAGTTTGAAGCTGAAGGTGAAAGGAGCAAGGCCGAGTTCGAGGCGATGAAGGCCGCTATGGAAAATGTGCGAGCCGAAGCAGAAATAGAAAGAGCTCAGACTGCTGACCAACTTAAATTCGAAGCCGAGGATAGGGCGAACGCGAGCGAGGAATCGCTCGAGTTAGCCAATGAGGTGCTTGCCAAGGCAGCCAAGGAAAAAGCCGAATCCGAAGTTTCTACAGCGCTTGAGGCTGGGAAAAGCGCCGCCTTCAAGGAATACGTAGACGAAGTCCCCAAATTCGAAAATCGGGGATTCAAACATGGGTGGCTCAAATCCCTTGCTGTCGTTGGAGCTACATCGGCCGTGCCAATTCCATACGAGCAAGTGGACGTTGAGCCACTTGAGTCTGATCCCGATGATTGATCTGGGAGACATTCTAGTTTTATTAAGTATATTCAATGTACATTTTTTGGATTTTCATATGTAAAATTTCCGCTGGCAGCGCTCAGTTTATGAATGAAAATTTTATATGCTCTCAAGTTATTTTTCATATTGTCTGTTATGTGAGCGTATAGTTAGGAGAGTTAGCAGTTAGAACAAAATGTCAAGCATGCGTGAGACGGCAGACTTAACGGCCGATTAAAATTATGGATCTGATTTAGTCAAACAAAATGAATTCAAGACTAGTGCTCAGATAAATCGATTCGTGGAACAGTTGGGACACTCGAGCCGTATAGATTGATGAATCTGCCCTTGCCCCAGATGGTTCATGAATCGAGAACACCGAATAAAACGTAATAAATTTTGCACGCAAGAATCGATTCGTGGAACGACTGGGGCACTTGAGCCGTATAAATTGATGAATCTGCCCTTGTCCCAGCTGGTTCACGATCGTAGAACACCGAATAAAACGTAATAAATTTTTCACATATGAATCGATTCGTGGAACGGCTGGGGCACTCGAGCCGTATATATTGATCTGATTTAGTCAGAAGCAAAATGAATTCAAGACTAGTGCTCAGATAAATCGATTCGTGGAACGGCTGGGGCACTCGAGCCGTATAGATTGATGAATCTGCCCTTGCCCCAGATGGTTCATGAACCGAGAACGCCGAATAAAATGTAATAAATTTTTCACGTAAGAATCGATTCGTGGAACAGCTGGGGCACTCGAGCTGTATATATTGATCTGATTTAGTCAGAAGCAAAATGAATTCAAGACTAGTGCTCAGATAAATCGATTCATGGAATGGCTAGAGCACTCAAGCCGTATAAATTGATGAATCTGCCCTTGTCCCAGATGGTTCATGAACCGAGAACGCCGTATATCAGCGGTTGATGGGGCGATTGGGGTTTGGTTCAGTCGGCGATTGGGGTGATTGGGACTGGTACAGGATGGTACAGGGTAGGCTATTGACGCTTCATTATTAATAAGGTAGCCTCGAAGATGCTGCCCTTGTAGGGAATAAATGAGCGTGTACTTTGTGAACGAGGGTCCTATGTACATGCTAAATGAGCATCTCAGTCCCGCTCTTTGAGAAAGGTGAAACAAGTGAGAATGTCAAATAAGCTTTTCTTCAACAGCAGAGGTCAAGCGAAGACGCTAGCTGAGCTGGGAGGTACCATGAATCGAAGCGGTGAACCGTTACGCACGGGCAGTAGGACGTCGAGGGGTCGGGAGAGACACCAATCTCCTCAACGTCGAAGTAGATCGCCTAGGAGGGATAGTCAGCCACAGCATAAGTCTCTTCAATCTCATCTTGGAAGGGAATCCGACGCAACTCCTTGCCCCTTGAGTTTTGCAGTCTTCGTAGGTAACAGATCGATGACGGAGGCGGATTCCATCATTTGAGACCCAAATGTGGCAGTCGAGTTTGCTCGACAGATTTTTCCGCCTGAAGTTCAACAGTCGATGGTAGGCCATTCAGACTTCGAAGTGTTTCGTGAAGGCGTTCACGGGGCAGTGAGGGGACTTTACACGGCTTATGAGATCGGTATGCGTCTCCACGCCACTCGTCGGGACATAGAACAGAGAGACGAACGCATTCGGAAGTTAGAAACTCGCGCCGAAAAGGCCGAGCGCGAGCTGAGGAGAAACAAGCCTGCGTCGCCCCAATCAGCCGTCCCCCCCAACCCGGTTATCGCAGAGAGGGTTACTTAAAGGCTGATTATTGATGCGATCGTCGATCGTAATACGGCGAGCATGTTTACGATCGAGACTGCGAGAAACGTGGCCTACGAAAAGGGCTTTCATGACGGCCTACTGGTCGGAATTCAGAAGACCAAAGAGAAGCTCGCCGAAGAAGTTTGCTAATGTGAGAATCGTGGCTTTAAGCACAGTTGGATCAGGGCATCTCAAGCCACGGAAGCTCTCCGAGCGTCGGGAATTGATTCGGCGCTGCCACTCTACCAACGTAATCATTTTTCGTTTTCTGCTTTTGAAGTCAAAAAGAGTGAGAATGAGGACGACGCCGTATAAAAATACTACGTAATTGTGTAATTGTTGTCTGATTGAATAAAATGTCCTATTTTAAATGTTTCATTGTAATCTACATTCGGCACACACGTGTTTGTATATGTTTTCATTGTATAAACATTGTCTGGCTCAAGTAGTCATTTAATTTCGAACGGTTACGTGCCGGCTTGTCATGATCACTCCGCCGATTAGGCTCCGAATTCGGAAACTTGTATCGGTCGACGTGATGCGTCGATGAGGCTCCGAATTCGGAGGCTTAATAGGCCCAAACGTGCCATGCTCCAAGGGCTTCAAATCCGGAAACTGTCATCCCATCTTTAATTGCCATAATTAGTCCATTTTAACTCAAAAAAGTCAAAAATTAGTACATGGAATGGCTATGGCCAACATCTATCGGCATACATCTTTTGGAGTTCAGTATTAATGCCGTTGCTTCGGGGTCACCGCAAGGAGTAAAAATAGATTGCCTCAGACTTTTCGCCCTAGTAATTTCACTTACTGTGTTCAGACTTGCTTTAAAATAACTTTGTTGCATGGGGCAGACAAATGTGAATGTCAAATGGAATTTTCTTCAATAGCAGAAGAGGGGCTCGAACCTTGGTTGAGCTTGACACTGCAATGAATCATAGCAAGGAACCCACCCGTGCGAGGGGTAGGGCGTTCAAAGAACGCGAAGAACGTCGACCTCCAAGTCGTCGAAGCAGATCACCCCGAAGGAAGGAAGAGGTCGACGTAGCGCTATAACCGTTGAATTTTACTGTTTTCATGGGGAATTCCTTTCTTGTCCTAGATCTTGGCCTTTACATTGTTTATGGTGTCAAGGCTCTCGACCTTGAGGATGATTGTCACACCGGTGTGAACATTATGGGTTCAAGCGCGATCAGATCGAAGAATTTTGAGCTACGGACGCTCTCTGGGCAGCGGGCATCAATCCAGCACTGCCACTGTACCTTCACGACCACTTCCCCTCTTTCGCCTTCAAAATCTGAGAAGGGTGAGGATGAAGGTGACGCTGTATGAAAGTAAACTTTGTAATGCTCAAACGCGAATTGCGTTTTTGTAATTATTGTTTAATCGAATAAATGTTTTATTTTAAAAGTTTGTATTTCATTGTGAATTTTTGTTAAGCATCTTATTTCGAGTGTTGGCACGTTTTGTTTCGTTTATGCCGTTGTGCCGGCTCAAGTTACATTTCCCTGCTTTGATGTGCACTGAAGGTGTTCCGAATTCGGAATGTTATTTGGCTTTTGGAAGCGTTATTGGCCCAACGACATTATGCACCGAGGGCGCTCCGAATCCGGAGACTTTATTGGCCCAATGGCGTGATGCGCCGAGGGGGTTTTGAATCTGGAGGCTTTATCGTCCCAACGGCATCATGCGCCGAGGGGGCTCCGAATCCGGAAGCTTTATTGGCCCAACGGCGTGACGCGCCGAGGGGGCTCCGAATTCGGAGGCTTTATCGGCCCAATGGCGTCATGCGCCGAGGGGGCTCCAAATCCGGAGGCTTTACATGGCCAATCACAATATCTACGAAGGGCGCTCCGAATCCGGAGGCTTTATTGGCCCAACGGCGTGACGCGCCGAAGGGGCTCCGAATCCGGAGGCTTTACTTGGCCAATCGTGATATCCACGAAGGGCGCTCCGAATCTGGAAGCTTTATCGTCCCAACGGTGTCATGCGCCGAGGGGGCTCCGAATTCGAAGGCTTTACTTGGCCAATCGTGATATCCACGAAGGGTGCTCCGAATCTGGAGGCTTTACTTGGCCAATCATGATATTCACGAAGGGCGCTCCGAATCTGGAGGCTTTATCGTCTCAACGGCGTTATGTGCCGAGGGGGCTCCGAATCCGGAGGCTTTACTTGGCCAATCGTGATATCCACGAAGGGTGCTCCGAATCCGGAGGCTTTATCGTCCCAACGGCGTTATGCGCCGAGGGAGCTCCGAATCCGGAGGCTTTACTTGGCCAATCGTGATATCCACGAAGGGCGCTCCGAATTCGGAAGCTTTACCGTCCCAACGGCGTCATGTGCCGAGGGGGCTCCGAATTCGGAGGCTTTACTTGGCCAATCGTGATATCCACGAAGGGCGTTCCGAATCCGGAGGCTTTATCGGCCCAACAGTGTCATGTGTCGAGGGGGCTTTTTGGTCGGAATGCCCTTTTTAATTAGATTTTGCAGAGGATGGGATTATATCTACCCAACAAGAATCCTTGCATTTACAAAGGAGGAATATGTACATGGAGAATCATTTTAGAACCGAGATCATTCCCCACAAGTCGGGTTTAGTGACAATTCTCGAGTTTCAGGGGCCGTAACGTGTTTCTGAGCCGATATGGAATCCTTCCGATGATGACCGTGTTAGTCGAGGATGTTTCAATTCAGTATTTCATGATGGGGACAGAATACTGGTGCGAAGTGCCGGGAACCGCGGATTCGCTCAATACCGTGTTGGGTAGGAAAGCGCAGCAGCTGATGGTAGGTGCTAGGCACGGCTTGGATAGCGTGCAACCAAGTTCGCCCCATGATGATATTATACGGCAATGGGAGCTTGATGACCAAGAACACTACATCCATCGTTCGGGAGTTGGCTTGAACGGGTGGTGTGATCTTTCCCAACGGATACTCTGGATTCGCGTTGAAGCTAAACAATGGATGAGGAGCCGGAGATAGGTCTGATTGATTGAAACCAAGTTTGACGAAGGTTTCATAATACATAACCTCGAAAGTGCTTCCTTGGTCTATGAAGACGCATTCAACGACGAATCGATTTACGTGTAGCTCAATGACCAATGGATCACTATAGGGGAGTGTTACGCCGATAAGATCGAAATCGTTGAAGATAATACTCGGAGCTTCGTGGGGCTGCTTCGATGGTGTGCGTTGCTTCTGGAGGGCTTGAATTGCGTGTACGGTAAGTGGCGTTAGAAGGTCGTATATCATATGAATGATGCCAAGTGGAGGCGAATCCTACCGAAGGGCAACAGTTTTGATTGCGTTCTTTCGTACGTGTTGCTGAAGCCGATCATCTTGCACCAATTCCTCAAGGTGGTCTTTCAGAGCATAGCAACTGTCCGTATCATGACCGTGATCTTTGTGATATTCACACCGTTTATCCCGTTTTCTCGTGTCGGGAGGTCCCACCATTTTGGATGCCCATTTAAAAAACGGAAAATGTTGGATTTGGGACATAACCGAGCTGATTGAATCTAATAACTCCGTATATTTCTTGTCGGCGCGCTTTGTGCGCCTATTATCAACTTGCAGTTGCTCATTTGTTCAGTGCGAGCAATGATCGCTTGGTCGGCGAGAATCTCGTTTCTTATCTCGTTTAGTCCGCTGGCGTGGTTCAGGGCTCTGAGGAGGTACGAAACTTATTGGCTGGGCAATCTCAGGGGGGGACGTTTTGGTGGTACTGTGTCCGGTTTTAACCCGCAAAGCGTCATCTTCTACTTTGCAGTATTCTTCTACTTTCTTCATCAACCCCCAGACTGTTTTGGGGGGTCTTCTGGTCAAGGAACTGCGGAGGGCACTATCTGGGTGTAGTCCCATTTTGAAGGCGGTGATGGCCATGGAGTCATTACAAGCATCATCTACAAGATTAAAGCATTCCCAATATCGTACCGAATATGCTCTTAGCGTTTCTTCTGGCAGGATTTGCATTGCCCAGAGAGAGTCGGCTTGTTTCGACTTGACCTCATTTGTGATGAATCTGGCCCTGAAAGACTTCTGTAATTGGTGGAAGGTTTTGATCAAAGCCGGCTCCAGTTTGTAATACCACCTGACAGCCAGTGGTCCCAAGCTGCTGGGGAACATTCGGCACATGAGGGCTTCGTCATCTGCATGCAATGTTATGGCTTGCTTGTAGTGGCGGATATGATCAGTGGGGTCTGACTTGCTATAATAGAGAGTAAATGACGGAGCTTTAATTTTTTTGGGCAAGATTGCCCTTGCGATCCGTCGCACAAAAGGATCATGCTGGTCCTCGTCATCTGAGTCGTTTCTTCTGCGCTTATGCTTTACGCGTGGGCTCTCTTCAGAGGAGCTGGAAGTTGTAGGTCGTCCTTTCCTTTTGGGCTCCGGAGATAGTGAGTCGGAGTCGCTATCAATGTCTTGTTGCCGGGCTCGAGGTCGTCGACCACCTGCTTTCAGAGGTCGCTTCGGGTCTTGGCGCACGGCTTGTTTGGACTTTGCCACCTCCAGTGCCAAATCCTGACGGAGACGCTCGTTCTCAGCAATCATATTCTCCAACCGTTGCTCGTTTTGCTTTGTCTGCTCCATGATCGCCTGCATTGCCTCATGTTCTAGAGTCGAAAGTGAACCGAAGTTCAAAGCGCGTCTTACTGGGTTAGGCTCCGGTCCGTGCATGTTTATTGGAGTGAAGTCATCTATCTGTGTGGTGTCATCAGCGACTATTGGAGGGTCCTCCGTTGCGTCCGCCATAGATGTGCTTAAGTATTCCCACAGACGGCGCCAGTTATGGGGAAGTAGTTTTTGGAAATACTCTTCTGATCCTAGGGGATGCTCGGGATCCATCGATAGGCACCTGAAAGGAAGTAAACACTCTGGTCGGGGGTGCCGGAATTAGCACTTCAACAGACAAGTCTGTCTCTCGTTCTAGATTACTTGTATTCTAAGTTAAATACTACAATTATCACATACCTTTCTCAGTCTGCTATTCCTTTATTTATACTCGTTCCCTGGGCCTCGGGGCCAGGTCCACTTTTCGCTCATTATGTTCATATTTACTCGGCTCCATAGCTCAGTACCTATTTGGCCCATCTACCCTTTATATTCGGCATCCTGATGGTTCTGGACAGAGTCGGGCAATACCTGTCTGTTAAAGTATGCCTCCTTTAAAATTCGGCTCCCGCAGTTTACTATAAAAACGAAGGTTCCGTTTGGTTTAGTTTTAAAATTATTATTTGAATGTAGAATTGTGATTTAAATGTGGAGTTATGAGTTGAGTTTTAAAAATGAAAAATTTATTTGGTTATGAATTTTAAAAAGAATTTTGAAAAGAGTTTTGAATTGTATTTTGAGTTTTGATTTTTTAAATTTTGAGTTGTATTTTAAATTTTTTTGGATTTGTTCTTTTTAAATATTTTAAAATGTTTAAGAAAATTTTATTTTTTATTTTAAATGTTTTATTTTATTTTATTTTGTAAATATTTAAATTTTTTTAATATTTTAAATTTAAAACACAACTTCACACTCAAATTGCAACCAAACACATAACACATAACTCAAAACTCAATTCAAAAATTATTTTCAAAACTCATAACAAAACACATAACTCAAAACTCAATTCAAAAACTCTTCTCAAAACTCTTTCAAATTTCTATTAAAAAAAAATTAACAAATTTTTTTTTTATTTCGTCCTTTAAAATTATTTTTTATTTTATATTTTTTTGAAAAAACTATTTTTTTTTGTGAAGAAATTTTTTTTTTTTATTTTTTCAAAAAATATTTTTTGTTATTTTTTTAAGTATTGGCCAAATAATTTGTTATGATTTACATATATGGCGATTCAAATTTTTTTAAAATTTGGAAAAAAATAAATATTTAAAAAAAGTAAAAAAAATATTTAAAATATTAAGAAATTAAAATGTTTTAAAATATATTTAGAAAATAAAATAAAATATTTAAAATAAAAATTCTATATTTAAAATAAAAAATAATATATTTTTTAATTTTTTAAATATTTAAAAAATATATATTTAAAATATTTTTTTAAAAAAATACAACACACAAATGTATGAATATAATACACATCAAAATGATAAATAAATATTTAAAATATAAAATATTTATCCTAGAAAAATAAAACTAAGAAAATTTTTAAATATTTTTTAAAAAAATCCAAAATATTTCAAAATACAACCTAAAACTCTTTTCAAAACTCATAACCAAACAAATTCTCTTTTTAAAACTCAACTAAAAACTCATAACTCAAAACACAACTCCACACTCAAATCATAATTCTAAAAATAATTTTAAAAAATAAAATAAAATAAAATTTTAATTTTTTTTTAAAATAGAGTTTTGAAAAGTGTTTGATTTTAAGTTTTGAACAGAATTTTAAGTTGTGTGTTTGATTATGAGTTTTGTGTTTAGTTATGAGTTTTCAAAATAGTTTTAGAATCGAGTTTGATATGTTTTTGAGCTATGTGTTTGGTTATGAATTTTGAAAAAAAATTTGAAATTTTTTAATTGGAATCATAATTCCAAAAAAGAACCAAATGCAAGTTGAATAAAACTTTATAGATTAACACTAAAAAAATTGTATAATTAAAAAAGCACTAGGCTTCTATCCAATCCGAGATCGGATTAGAACATGTTGTTGGGCCCAAGGGGTTCATCGCAGGTCATGTTTCGATAATCCAAACCGTTCAATGTGTAGAACTCGTCGAATATTTTATCCCTGAAAAAATTTTATGTTGATCAGATCAAATTTCTGTCAACGGTGAATATAATTTTTAAAATAAATTGTTGACAAAAATCTGATCCGATCAAGTAGTTATTGATATTCGATCAACATAATTTTTTACAAAAATTCGATGAGCTCTGCACATTGAATAGTTCGAATTATCGAGACATGACCTGTGGTGGGCCCCACGGGTTCAACAGCACCATCCAATCCACAAAATAAGTTGGAGACAAGCCTAGCCCATTAAAAATTAACATTTAACTCAAAAATGTTAAGCCCTCACACGCTCACATTTTTTAAACTTTTACTTCATTATATTAATAAAAAAAAACATAATCAAATTAGAAAAGACATATTTCTACTTTGAATCGATTAAATGTTAGGTCATTTTTTTTAAGTGACGCATTGTGCGTAGTGTGTTTCGAAAAGTGAGCAAAGGGCGCCACATCGACGCCTTGGTGCTGTGAAAAATAGGCAAAGGTTTCTGCATTTTTCTGAACGAGCGCGAGTAAATAAGCTAGTCTAAGACTATAGGTTTGGAGTAGCCACATGGAATATAAGAACTTTAACTAGTAAGACTGTGGAATTGGTAAATGTTATGATTAGGAAGAGAGTTAGTATAACATGCGTACAAGAAACTAAGTGGACAGGTAAGAAAGCTAGGGAAATTGAGGATATCGGGTTTAAACTGTATTATAGTTGCAAGGATAGACACAAGAATGGGGTAAGAATAATAGTTGCCAAGGGTCTTGTGAAAAATGTAGTGGTTGTCATTAAGAAAGGTGATAGGATTGTGTTAGTTGAACTAGTTATTGGAGGAAATATAGTGAACGTTATTAGTACATAAGCTCCTCAAGTAGAATTAGATGATCAGACTAAGAGAGATGTTTTAGAGCAAATGGATGAGATCTTACAGAGAATACCCGTAGGAGAGAACCTAGTTATAGATGGAGATTTCAACGGCCATATAGGAATAGATAAATTAGGCTTTGAGAAGGTGCATGGTGGATATGATTTTGGTGATAAAAATGAGGCTAAAGAGAGTGTTTTAAATTTTATATTGGGTTTTGACCTAGTAGTGACCAATACTATGTATAAGAAAAGGGAGGAGCATTTAATAACCTTTAAAAGTGGGTCAGTTAATAGTCAAATAGATTACTTTTTAGTAAGGAAAGTGAACCGTCTAAAATACAGTGACTGTAAGGTGATTCTTGGAGAGAGCCTGACGTCTCAACATAGGATTTTGGTACTAGATTTATGCTTTAAATGTCAATACCAAGTTAAGAAGGGTAGTCAGCATCGTAGGACGAGATGGTGGGACCTAAAAGGGAATAAAACATAAATATTTAAGAATAAAATGGATAAGGAAGGTACTTGAGACTTGGAAGATGATGCTAACACTATGTAGAACTCAATGGCCAATTGTCTGAGGAAAATCTGAAGGGAAATTCTTGAAGAGTCGAAAGGAAAGGGACCCAACTCTAAGGAAACTTGATGGTGGTGGGAAAAGGTT